AACCCAAAACCCACTTTTCTGTAGGTTCTTATTATAAACCCTGATATGGGATTTATAGGGACCCTACAAAAAAGTAGGTTTTGGGTTCTTAAGGCAGGGTTTAGGGTTTAGGGTTCACGGGTTTGGGGTTTAGGGTCCGGGATTGAGTTTGGGAAAACCCCAGCCCAACCTCAAACCCCGGTTCTGGGTTCGGGTTCAGGGCTTAATGTTTAGGGTTTAGGGTTTAGGGTTTAGGTTTAGGGTTTAGGGTTTAGGCCGAAAGCGGGACATGGATACTTAGAGGATCACGGGACTTAGTAAGATCTAATGAGCAGGGTGATAACTACCTTAAACAGGGCTGTGAGTAGATATAACTGAACAACACTTGCCTTGCTCATAACCCTACTTGCTAAGTCCCTTGATCCTCTACGTAGACTATGTTCAAATGGTTTCATATAGGTGCTTGTTCGAGATGCCTTGGGGGAAGTACAGGACTTGGGGTGTAGCGCCGCGTCATTGGGATCGAGGATTTCGCTTGTTTTATTGTGTGTCGGGTCTACTTGGGGGGCATAGCAATTCGGTGGGCCTGGCAGTACCAGTGCAAGTATCCTGTTACCTTCTGATATCTTTTGAAGCATGGGAGGCTAAACCTGCAAGCACTAAATCCCAGCTAAATCCACGCAGGGGTGTGATCAGGGGCCTTAGTAAGTAGGGCTACAAGAAATGCAACTATAACCCTAAACCCTAAACCCTAAACCCTAATCCCTAAACCCTATTATTGTATCTACTGGGTCGGTACTTATTATCCTAGCTAAGGAGCCTCAGGGTAGACACTGAGCCTCGAAACAACAAAAGCCGAAACTGGTTTAGGGTTTAGGGTTTAGGGTTTAGGCTTTAGGGTTTAGGGTTTAGGAGGCTTAACTGCGGTAGCCTTGCCGTAGGCTGTTCGAGCTTATGCGCTTGAGCCTCAAGCGGTTTAGGGGCTCGAGGGTTTCGGTTTGAGGGTGTCCCTAGACCCTAACCCGAAACCCTAAACCCTAAACCCTAAACTAACCTCTCAGCGAGATTTTCTGCTTTTTGGTTGTAAGGCTCGCGACTTCTACCTTTAGGGTTTACGGTTTTTAGTCAGTTTCTGGGTCAACTTAGAGGAGCAAGGAACATGGTAAGTTGGGTCATAAGTAAAGTGCAGATGGTTTTTATCTACGTTTGATAATCCTGCTTGCGGTATTCATAAACCCTAAGTCCTGTAATCCCCTATATCTGAAGGTCTGCTTGTCTGACTCTTGGTAGCTTTGCCTGACAGGTGTGTACAGAGCATGGGGCTCTTTTGGTAAGCCCCCCGTCCTGACGTAGTCAGATAGAAACATGCAAATCATGCAAAGCATGCCAGCCAGCCGCGATTACCGACACTTCTGCTGTGGTACATCAGAATGCAAGTGTGCACCAGCAAGGGCACATCGCACATGACAAGCTATATATATATATATATATATATATATATATATTTTTTTTATTGTGTGACCATATACGCCCGTAGAACAGTTTGTTGAGAGAGTAGAGCCTGCAAGTGGGAAATTCCTGTATCTGCCATGTTGGGACACACCGCCTTTAAGACAGCCTGGAGTGGCTTGTATGTGCAGGGCGGTCGGGACACGGAGATGAGATTTGACTCCTTCATTCTAGATGTCGGTTCTGTGAAAGGTGGGGGTGAAGATGAGGTCGGTAAGTTTGAGCTCGAAGGATCTCGTGATAGTCACGGGAACATCCAGTTTACGAAGCAGTATCTGGGCCGGCATGCCATCGGGTATGTTGGTCAACTGTCTGACTTGGCGAATGGAAACTGGGCTTTGGAGTACCATACTTTAATACTTGTTTTTGGGACCTGTTCCTTAAAGGAGCCATTATAAATTTATAAATTAAAAGTCTATACTTTTTGCACCCTGGTTACTTCAAAGCCCAGGAAACCAGAAAATCACTGGCCAGTGGTACTTCTTGGAATGGGGCCCCCTGGAGTTCGATCCTGAAAGAGACGAAGATCACTATTTCGAGTTGTTCCGGGATTTAGAAACGGAGCGCAAGCGAGAAGCGGCTTTCAAAATGGTGGTCGCTCAAATGAAGGCAGCTGTGGGAGTCATTCGACTTGTGTTTGAAGATCTCTTATCCGGTACAATACAGGTCCTCTTCCTTGTCGAGACACAGACTACTTCTCAACAGTTCTGGTTTACTGCCGTCTCTGTTGCCTCCGGCCTCCTGATGTCCCTTGGGGGTCCTATATTTGATGCAGTGTCTGCCTGCCGGCTCTCGGGGACTGCCGGAGAAGCAGCTCACGATCCACCCTCTGTGGATGGTGGCACACGGGCTGAAACTTCTCGGCAGCTGCAACTGGACTCTGACTATAAGCCGATGCCCAGTTCCCCGGAGACTTCAAAGCCGTCGGCTTCTGAACATGGGCAAGCATACCAGGACCGATTGGCCGCGGCGAAGCAGCTCACTCTGGACGAGTACCTCACAGGCAACACGGACTATGTGGATGTGCTGATGGAGAAACCTGATGAGCCTGCTATGGTACAAGATGTTGCAATCACCGATGTTATAGCCGCGAACCACATCGTGCGCAGACTGCTGTGCTGCGGTGCTCTGCTCCATTGGATCTATGTGATGAGTGTTCCCTTCATCTTCGACATTTCTTGTGAAAGAGGCGTTCCAACCAAGATGCACTTAGGTTTCCTGGCTGTTGCCGTTGTCAACATGTCCTTTCAGGTGTGGTGCGCCTCTCTGACCAAATACGGGTACTTGACATTGGCTCATGCGCCACAGCGGTTCTGCTTCAACATTGGCTTATCCTGCCTGGGTCTCTTTGATTCGTATAGTGATGTCGCCTTCGCGGCAATGCTGCATCGCTGCGACCACTGGCTGTGGAAATATTCTGCCGGGGTATTCGTCATTGGTGTGCTGATAATGCAGGCGCTGCCAGGTGTCGTGTTCTTAGCATGCAGCTACAACATCCCTGCGTGCTTGAAACTAAATGAGATGAACCTACTCCTCATGCTGCTGAAGCCCAGCGTGAACTAGCTATTCAACTGGGCTTGGGATTGCGTGTGGGTGTAAGGCTTTAAGGGTTTCGAAACCCTAAACCCTAAACCCAGAAACTCCCGAGCCCTCAACCCCCTATGCATTCTCCCTGCACAAAGTGAGCCGCTCTAGGCGGCTGCAGGAAGAGTCCTGGACAAGTGCTGGGTTCTTGTTAAGGAGTTGAAGTTTTGGGCCCCTAGACCCTAAACCACCGAGTTGAAGTTTAGGGTTTAGGGTTTAGGGAGAGTTGCAATTAAGTTACCATACTCGGGATAGTCCCACACCTCCAAGTTTCAGGTTATCGTTAAGGAACTGAAGTTAAGTTACCATAATCGGGGTCTATAGGTAGTATTATTAGGGGTACCCCTTAAAGTGTGGCTCTCTTAAAAGGGACCTTATTGAGAGGGTCTATATCCCCAAGGGTCCCCCTAATCCTAGCTCCCAGTCTATAGCAAAGAATACGTAGTGTTTCCATATTCTGGTAACTTAGCAAAAACTCCTTAAACAAGAAGACAGACTGCTGCAGCATGTTCGCATGGCTCTGACCGGACATCGATGGAAACAGTGCAGGAGTTTAGGGTTTAGGGTTTAGGGTTCGCATTTGGGCATAGGGGACCCCCAAAATGCAGACCCGAAAGGGTGTAGCATTTCGTTGAGGATCACGGGCTTAGAGGTTGGGGTTTAGGATTCAGGCGTTTAGGGTTTAGGGGTTTAGAGGTTTAGGGTTCAAAGTTTAGGGGTTTAGGTATTAAGGTTTAGGGATTAGGATTTCGGGGCGAGCTGCTCAGGCTCCGATATGTCTTATTAGTGGACGCCAGTCAACTCCTCGGAACCTGTACCCTAATTTCGTTCGGGTCCCTTTTAAAAGGGTCCTTTTGATAAGGGTGCCATACTATTTTGGTGACCTAAAGAGGGACCCTGGTTTAGAGACTGGTCTCTATAGAGTCTTGCGCGTTCCTGTTGCCCCAATGCAGGGGCCTAGAGAATTACCAATCCTATTTCGGCGGCGCCTTAGTATATCTATAGTATAATGGGCCCAAAAAAACCTTATTCTAACTATTAAGGCCCCTATACTACCTTTTGGGAGGCGTCTGATTAAATCTATAGTACAATGGGCCCAAAAGCCTTATTCTAACTATTAAGGCCCCGATATTACCGGGAGTTCAGGCTTCAAGGTTGGAGGGAACGGGCTTCAGGGTTTAGACAGGGAAGGCTAGGAGCCCTACATAAGGGTTTAGGGTTTAGGGTTGCCTTTATGGGTTTTGGGGTTTAGGGTTTAGGGTTTAGGGTTTAGGGTTTAGCTACATAGTGGATCTTTTTTTTACAACTTTTCTGCTCGGCTGAGGGTTTCGGCTTAGGGTTTGGGGGTTTTGGGCTATAAGAACATGCCATTTGGAATCCTAGCAAAAGCCTTCCTTACCCACCACCAAGCCATCTCTCCTAAGCACGGAACCCTAAGCATGGGACCTCCATGTTACCGCTTAGGCACTACTGATCCCCAAGCCCTCTGTGAACTGATTGATGTTGGGCAAGGAAACAATGGCAACACCATGACCGAAGTAGCTCTCTCTCTCTCTCTCTCCTCTCTCTGTCTCTCTGTATATGTACAGTTATGTATGTATACATCTGTACATTTACACAGAGATATATACACTTAACATCTATGCTGTAATATAGCCCAAAGGGCAATTCTAGTAATTATGTTGTTACCTGAAGTAAAGGCTGACCCTTCACCCCAACTTGAACCCTAAGCTCGAAACCTTAAAACCCGAAACCCTAAGACCTAAAGCCTAAACCTAAACCTAAACCCTAAACCCTGAACTTAAGGCCTAAACCGTAGACACTTCAGAATACAAAAAGTTGATATAGGGGCCTAAATAATTGCCAAGACTATTTTGAGGGCTCCTTATTATAATTGTTGTATAACATGCCCCCTATTCATTGCCCAGGATCCCCGGCGACAGTTGCTGGATGCCCTACGCCATCCCACGGGCGAGAAGGCTCCCGCAGGGTTTAGGGTCGAGCTTCTAGATTATAGGGTTCAGGGTTCAGGGCTGAGTCCTTCCCGTGTGAGCTTTCAAGCCTGGATATTCAATAGAAGCCCAAAAGTTAAAAACCCAATAGCCTCAATCCTTAAGAGTAATGTATAGGGAATCCCAGCACTATTTGTCCTTAGTCCGGTTTCCAACGTTTTGGTGTTTACTATAGGTTTTAGGGTCTAGGGTTTCGACCTGCGTAGCCTAGCCTGAAATGCCCCTACCGAAGCCTAACAAAAAACACCTGATGCACAACCTGCTTCAAGTAAAGCCGCGAGTCCAAACACCCGTACGCACCCGACGAAGACGTTTGCTTAGAAGACCATAAGCCTTAGCCTTAATAGTTCGATGAAGGCTGTACAAAGTTATGCATCAGGAGGAAGAAATTTTCGTCGCAGTTGCCTATAGACCACTATGCGGAGGACGCGGAGTACCGACAAGTGCATTTCATATGGCCTGACTAGCGAGGAGAAAGCCCAGAGGAATAACCTTAATTATGCTACTATAATGTTCCGGACGGAGGGCCGGGTGGAGGAGTCTACGGGGGAAAGCGGTTTGCAAGCTGTTCAGGAGCAGCATGCAGGAGTACGACGAACTTTCTTCCTGCTGCAGGCTGCAGCAATTCTGGGACCGATAGTCCAGCACGATTCGCAGTTCCCGAAACGGTGCACCCAGCTTGCATACGGGATGGCAAGATCCTAGCATCTGGACTCTGGCTGCCGAAATGCAGGCTGCCTTCCGTATACATTTTTTTCAGGAGCCTCAAGGACTGCGGACACAGCCTGAGATGCCCCTGACAGCGGAGCAGATACTCTTAACGTCTACAGCAACATGTACAGCATGAGGGGTCCGCAGGTACAGATTTTTTAGTCTGAAACGCCTTTCCGTGAGCATCGGCAGGAAAAAAAGTTTCGTCGCAGTTGCCTAGACCACTATGCGGAGGACGCGGAGTACCGACAAGTGCATTTCATGTGGCCTGGCCAGCGGAGGAATAAATCCACGGGAATCAAATTAAATACTACTATAATGTTCCGACCGAGGACTGGGTGGAGGAGTCTACGGGGGAAAGGGTTTTGCAAGCTGTCCAAGTTAGGAGTACGACGAGCTTTCTTCCTGCCGCAGTATACATATACATATACATATACATATACATATACATATATAAACATATCTAACTTACATTGCTTTTGTGTGAACCCGCGGAAAAAGACCAGGATGCGATGCGGCCCTTTCAAACTGATATTCTGGCACACTTGATTTTGATCATGCAGACCCGAGCCTAGCCGCGAGAGACACGCGTCTCTGAGGTCTTGATCCCAGGATTTTGGGTTTAGGGTGTAGCGGTTTAGGGTTTGCGTTCTGAACATTCACCAAACTAGATGGTTGTAACTTACGGGCCAAAGCTCGCCTTGCTCTGCAAACGTGGCGAACTCGTTACCTCAAAGTGACTCCTACTGGAGCATGGTGTCAACGAAATTCTTACCGCTTCCAACCGCCATAGACACCCAGAGACAGAGCCGCAGACTCAGCAGGTGGTCTTTGCACACGACCGTAAATTTCCCTGCCCTTCAGCTGTGCAGAGCAAGAGAGTCGTTGACAGACAGGGAGTCCGGACCACGCGGTTAGGCCGTCGTGAGAATGCCGGAAAAGCTCCAGTTCTTTCATCAGTTGATCAGACGCAGAAGGGCCTTCATTGCGGCGGGATTTTCCTCACAAGCTGTAAGCTTCTCCAGTCCTAAACCTTGTAAACCTTAAACCGTCCCATCCCCTTGTACGACGGGTAAACCTTCCGGGCTGGGCAAGCCAGGAAGGCTTACCGGCAGGAAGGATGGCTTGGGTCTACGGGGCTTTAGTGTTCAGTGGGTTGAGGGACCCTGAAACCATAAACCCTGGAACCCAAAGCCGCAAATTTGTACTTGGCATCATTCTGGTCGGTTCTCAGGACTTTAACTTTTTGGGTTTCTATATGAATGAATTAGAAAAAAGTTTAACTCTTAGGAGGGTTTCAGAAGTCAGCCAAGGCTTCTGTCTGCCAGATGGTTTTTCTGGTTTCCCGTTGTTTTTTCTGGTTGTCCTTTGCATGATCACCCTGTACTGCGTGAGGGTTGCTGCCCTGGTCCATATATCCCCCATACATAATATACTTTCTTGGAGTTGTTGTACAAGTTCAAGTTGGTTTCATGTAGGGCTTGCACATAGAGAATAGGGTTTGAGGGCACGGTTTATTACTCTAACGTACAGATCATATGGTGATATTCTGAACTAACTACTACTTGTAATAGTCCTCTATACTCGCCTGCTTGCAATAGCACGAAAAAAACCTAAAGCCAAGAGACAGTGATGCCTTGAGGATATCTGGCTCCGGCAACCCTTGCGTGTGGCAGGACGCGGTAATCGGGCTGAGGCTCAGAGGATTTAGGCCTTTGGGTTCAGGGTTTCGGGTGGAGTATAGGGGCCTTTCATAATCACGTTTACTATTTCTGGGGTTCCTTGCTTTAGTTCTATTATGATGGACCCCAAAACCCTATTAAAATTATTAGGGCCTCTATATTAGGCTCAGAGCACTTATGTGTTGGGGGTTTAGCTCGAGCCTAAGGCTTTGAGGCTGGGCTTTGCTGTTCAGGGGCCCCTAAATAACCGAGACCTTAGAGGTTTCAGGGCTTTAGGTTGTAGGGTTTAGGGTTTAGGGTCAAGGGGCGGACAGAGATTAGAACTTCATTTTTCGCCGGTGACTGCTGGACACGGCGCAGGCAGTTTTGGATACGGGTGCAGGGGTTTGGGGATCTAGGGTAGTGGCTTTTAGGGCAAGGGGCCATACTGCGAGACTGCACATGCTAAACTCTCAAGCCTCTCCCTAAACCCTAAACCCCTAAACCCCTACATAAACCCCTAAACCCCTAAACCCTAAACCTCCATAAATCCTGAGCCCTCCACCCTGCAGCCTGAAGGCATTAAGCCTATAAGCCCTAAACCGTTCAACTCTTATCCGCCATCCCTTGCATCATGCATGCCCATAATATAGAAGCCTATTAATATTTTTCGGGATTCCTTATTATAATTATAGTATGACATACCCCCAGAACCCTATTCTAATTATCAAGGCCCCTACATCAAGTTGATTAGAGCATCGGTTTGTTGAGGTCAACCAGCAAGCCGATCGTATGTTGGCTTCTCGTGCGATAGCATTCACTGGGGCTTAGCATTCAGGGTTTGGAGGTTAATGTAGGGGCCTAAATAAATACTTACCAAAACTATTTTGAGAAGTGTCTCTATAGAGTCTCGCGCATTCCTGTTTCCCCGATGTAGGGGCCTAAATAATTACCCATTTAATACTTTTTTGGGGGTTTCCTTATTATCAGTAAAGTATCATATACCCCAAAACCCTATTGACATTATCAAGGCCCCTATATCTTGAACTACCGCAGCCTAGTAAGGGGATAGGGGTCAACAAAAATGCTCTCAGCAATCAAGCGCTTTCCAGCCATCAGTTTTTTCGCATCAATCAAAAGACTATCTCGTTTTTGTAAGCACAAGAGCGTGTCTAGAAAGTCATACAATTAATATTGCTTTTTTTGCTTGTTGGAACGCTTTTTTTGATGGCTGGCTACTAGGTTTTGTTATTTCCTTCGAAGTTTTTGTCTTTGATGCTTCACCCGTCCAGTATTTCTTCGGCTTTATAATAAGAAGCCAGAGGAATGTAGGTTATGGCAGTTAAGGGTAGGGTGCTGAATCCAAACGATGACGAAGGATGGCCAGCGATGGCCAGAGTCACAGTGGAAAGAAGGTGGCGGGGTTTCAAGGGGCGGGGGTAGTAACCAGGGTTAGAAGTCAGGTAAGAAATCCGTACTTGAGGACTTCGTGTATGGAGTTATAGTATGTTATAAGCATCACAATCCCAATTAGCATCCCTTGTTGGGTGTCTGTAAACTCCACTTGTTACCCACTTACTAAGTCAGTCGACCCCCAAGCAGTTATATCTACTTACAGCCTTGAGATTAAGCTACTTACCACCTTAATTAGGGTGGCTTTTAGGATTTAGGGTTCAGGGAACCCTAAACCCTAGCCCGCTTGCTAAGTCCCCTGGACCTAGGACCTAGGAGTTTAGGGTTTAGGTGAGTAGTATTCAGGGCTCAGGGTTACGACAGGCCAGAACCAGGCCTCGGTAAGCGGGCATCAAGCTCTGGAGATAACACAGAGATTTGGGTTGAGGGTGCCTGAAGAATAAACGCTACTATCCCCTTGCCCCCAAAACCCTACTCCAGTCAAGACTTCTATGTCAGGGCGACGCGCTTGAGGATTGAGATTTCGACCCTGAGACCGAAATCCTGTTCTATCCGGCTTTCGACGGGTTTTTTTCGGGTTCGGGGGTTGATTGCGTTAAAAGGGCTACTCCTCAGTGTCACCTTGGACCCTAAACCGTCACTTGTGCGTTTCAGGCAACTCAGGGCCCCTAATTTATATGCGGTTATGGTTTTGGGTTTAGGGTTTAGGGTTTAGTGTGCATTGTTTGAACTGCAACAGGACTTAAAACCCTAAACGCATGCGCAGCCAGAATTAACACACATTCCATTTTCGCCCTTCAACCCTAAACCCTGAGCCCCAAACTTGCCCGCTAACCATCTCCTAATTTTGAAGCCCAAACCCTCTGTAGGTTCAGATCCCTAACAGTCTAGTCAAGTCAAGTCCTTTCCTCAGCGCAGCACTAAGAAGTTGTCAGCTCTTGAAACCCCTACAAGCCCGAAGCCCCAAACCCTAAACCCTAAACCCTGAAACCCTAGACCCTAAACCCTCATCCCTGAAACCCCCCTAAGCCCAAAACCTTAAACCGTCAAAAATTGCAGGGACGCCTCCGAGATTGCGCTGTCCTTACAGCCGGCCTGCAACGGGACGCCTGGGTGACGGCCTCAGTACGCCTCATTTTTCTGGGGGTTAAAGGATCCATCAAAACCCCGTAAGGTTTGGGTTTAGGGTTTACCTTAAGAACCCCAAACCCACCATTATAAACCCTAACATGGGATTTATAGGGACCCTACAAAAAAGTAGGTTTTGGGTTCTTAAGGTAGGGTTCCAAGACCATGAATCCTGATTAAACCCTAATGCCAACTACCCCTACGCCATATTTCGCGGTGCTCCTGAATCCCACCACAAACTGTCCTGAATCACGCCAAGACTTGGAGGAAGAACCCTAAACCCGAAACCCTAAACCCGAAACCCTGAACCCGGAACCCTAAACCCTAAACCCCTGAACCCCCAAACCCTAAACCAGTTTGGTCGGAGGTCCGGGTGGTCTCCTGGAAGGTTTTCGGCATCTAATCTTGGCGTTCTTCTGGTTGGGTTTTCAGACCTTAACTTTTGGGGTTTCTATATACTATATTTGTAATACTCTGGTAGTATAATAAGTGGGCTGAAAGTTTAACTTTTAGGAGGGGTTCTGAAGTCAGTCCGGTAGTTGCGCTGGCAAATAGGTCTCCCAACGGGCCCTTTATCTCTTTTTAGCGCCTTAGATTCCTGAAACGTTTGCAGTGCCCGCAATGCCAAACTTGGAGTTCGGAGGAGATTCGCTTTCTCCCTGATAAAGCCATCGAGCTCTGGCACGCTGTCTGCTGCACGTGGCTGGAACAGGGCGAGCTCCCCATGCAGCTTCGTGAAACAAAGATGGTGAATTTGACCAAGCCTAACAAAGTGGAAAGCAACAGAAGGCTCAATGTTGCTGACACTCGTCCCATCAGTGTCATGAGTATCTTTTGGCGCGTTTTCGCTTCGGCTTCCTGCAAGAAAGTTAAAAACTGGATCAACGACACATTCCGGAGCAAATTGGTGCCAAGCCAGGTGGCGCTGGACCGGAAGAACTGGTGTCTGAACTCCAAGACAGCTTTGCTATTCATGGTGGCTACATGGCGAGCCTGGACTTCAGTCAGTGCTATGATCGCCTCACGGCGGAAGCGTCCTCTGAGTTTCTCAAACAAGTGGGGTGGCGTTCGCAGCTATGCACGCTTATGAACTTGGCTTGGACGCATCGCAGATGGGTTTCTTGGCAAGAGCACACCGCGGAGGAGCAGTTGTGCGCTGCGGTGGTACGACAAGGGTGCCCTCTTGCTCCTCTTACTCTCATGGCTTGGACCACGGCAGAACTACTATCACAGATCGCCCTCCTTCACGCGCATTTTCATGGATGATCGTACCTTTTGGTGTCGCAGATGGACAGGGCTTCAAGAAAGACTGGACGGATCGGCTGCGTGCCTTGTTCTTCCTAGCTTACTGGGGATCCTCTGTTGTATGTTTAGGGTTCAGGGTTTAGGGTTTAGCGTTTAGGGGTTTAGGGGTTAGGGTTTAGGGTTTAGGGCTTATGCCTCTTATGCGGTATCTAGGGCCGCAGTGGACAACCAGTGATCGAAGACGAGAAGATGCTCCCCTTACACCTCCGACACCCCAAGATGGTGGATCATGGGGCTCAGTACAGATAAACGGTTTAGGGTTCGGCTACATATCGTATGTTTTGGCATAAACGGGGTCCGTATAGATTAACCTCAGACGCAATGCATGTACTATTCCAAGGTGAACTCTGGTTTTAACTTTAAACCCTCAACCCTAAAGAAAAGCAAGCTTGCTAAGTATTGGGGTGTCCGAACACTCGGCCGACTCCTACTTTCGAGGGGCACAGAGTTTAGTTTAGTGTTTAGGGGTAAAGGGTTTAGGGCTTCAATGCAGATGAGCATACCAGCCACCAGCTCTTACTTTAGACGTCCCTAAACCCTAAACTCTAAACCCTATAAGCATATTAATATAGGGGCGTGAAGGAAGCTGGAGACGTCCTTGAGTATGAGATGCGTAAAAGCCCACATATAGGGGCCTAAATACTTGGCCAGAATATTCGGGGTTTCTTATTGTAAATGTAGTATAATGGGGCCCAAAGCCCTATTTCAATTATTAAGGCTCCTACATTAACCCTCAAACCCTATAAAAAGAAAGGATAACATGGAAGCCTCCTTGAAGCTGTTATGTAAGAAGTCCTGATGCTTACATGGTCTTTTGGGCGCCCATATTCCGAGGCCGTCTTGCCAATGCTGCCCGAGTGCCTTCGGTGCAGCGGCATAGAGTTTTAGGATATTGCACTTGGGTTTTCGGGGTTTCGGAGTTTTAGGATTCAGGGTTTAGGGTTTAGGGTTTTTGGGAATTTCGGGCTTTGGTGTTTAGGGTGCCGCTGAACCATGAGAACATGCAGAAAACGGAGAGCTCAACGCCCCTTTGATACAGCATACCCTTTAGTTAGATCACCACTTTGAGCTTCTTTCTGGAACAAGCATAGCAAGAAAGCATTATCAAGGGGTCCTTCATAGGTTGCGATACATCTAAAGTTACCTTACATAACTCCCTACTTACTACGTCCCTTGATCCTCTAGGTAAGACCACTACCGAAACTGCCCATGCGGCCTCACTTGTGACAGTCTTTCATGTGCCAACCGCCGTTATTCAAAACAACTCGTAAGCCCCAATTGGGTGGTTCTCTAAATTAAGGTTCCTCGGGGGGTCGGGGGTTTATCGGGCTTATAGGGTTCTGAGTTTAAGGGTTTAGGGTTTAGGATTTTTAGGGGTTATAGGGTTTATAGGGTCAGGGTTCTGAGTTCAAGGGTTTAGAGTTTGGGCTTGACGCGCTTACTCAAACTCTCCACCCTCAACTCCCAATCCTAACCCTCAGTTCTACACTCCAAACCCTCAGCCCCAAATCCTAAACCCTAAACCCTAAACCCGAAACCTTCAAAGGCATGGGTCCCATCTTCAACCAGGATGTTGTCGAACATCACGCCCTCATCGAGCACCTCGCGACATGCTCGTCCGCGTGTTCTCCAGCGGCTTGGGCCAGGAGCAGGACGAGAAGGCACTGCTCCGCGAAAAAGACTTCATGAAGTTTTACCATGCAGGAACCTAGACCCTCCATCTACCCTCTATTAGACCCTAAATACCCTTAATTTGGGACCATATACCGCTACTTGAGGGTACTTGGAGGGTCCTGGGAGTTCCATCCTTCATCATTACGAGAAGGCCTTGGGCCGCCCAAAGTCCGTCTGCTTCGGGCTGCTCTTGCAACATCGCCTAAAACCCTAAACCCTATAAACCCCAAACCCTAAACCCTATAAACCCCAAACCCTAAACCCTAAACCCTAAAGCCTCAACCCAACCAACAGTCTCGAACTTCTGATTCCTCGGAGCTGAAACCGGTACAAGACGTTAAACGACTGAGCAGGCCCAACACCTGAATCCAGAACCACCAAACACCAAAAGGGTTTAGGGTTTAGTGTTTAGGTGTTTAGGGGTTTAGGGTTTAGGGTTTAGGGTTTAGGGTTGAGGGTTTAGGGTTTAGGGTTTAGGGTTTGGGGTTTAGGGTGGGTTTAGTCAAGAAAGCCTCCTACATCTAGAGCCCGAAGTTCCACCCCAAAAAAGTACAAGCCCGACGCATCTTGCATTATAGAACTCATTAACGAGCATTTAACATGTTCGAATCCAAACCCTAAGCCCCTCTCGACGTAAACCCTAAACCCAAAACCTTAAACCCTAAACCCTAAAGCCTGAGCCCAAATCTGAATGTCTGAACAAAGGAACCCTAAACCTTAGGGTTTGAGGTTGATGATCCAGGATTTACTTCAGGTTCTGGGGTCTGTGGAAGGTTTTTTTGAACCGAAAAATAATTTAAGGAGCATAAGGAATGTTGAGCAGCCCTGTATACTGAATCGCTGACGTCAAGGTCGTTGCGCCGGGCCACAAGAAGCTTCGGAAGGAGTGCCGACGCCCCGCAGCCGCAGCTCTTTGAGAAGTCGTGTTGCGTAATTGAGATGAGGGTCAGGTATATATATATATATAGGGACTACCGGGGATATTACCACTGTTGCAGCTTTTTTAATACTCTGAGGGTATGCCATTACAAATTGTTCTGACCGCTATACTTGGAGTGTTTGGGGGTTTGAAGGGTCAACCCGTCAGGTTCTTGGGTTCTTCCGATATCTTAGTTTTGAACTGGAAAGCTGGCTTGAGCTTTGTAATGTAGGGGCCTTGGGCAAAACTCCTTATTATAATGATAGCAAAATATACCCCAAACCCTAAGTCTTTCGAATCCCATTCAGCCCTTATAGAACCCTTAAACGAGCCCCAAGTCCCCTGGAGTCTCTCGATACGTGTGTTGACGGGTTGCGTCCTGGCCCGTGAAGCGTTTAACCCAAGGTTCACAACCCTACCTTAAGAACCCAAAACACACTTTTGTGTAGGTTCTTATTATAAACCCTAATATGGGATTTATAGGGACCTACAACAAAGTAGGTTTTGGGTTCTTAAGGTAAACCTTGAACCCTAAACCGGTCTAGGGTTTAGGGTCTTGGGAGGCCAAACCCTAAGGGTTCCAAGGGGTCCAAGAATTCGAGTTTGGATAAGGGCTCTTTCAGGGTTCCATAAGGGTTCAGGCCGTTTAGGGTTACTTTGATAAAGGGTTTCAGGGTTCCATAAGGGTTTAGGCCGTTTAGGATTACTTTCATAAGGATTACTAAAACTAATACGGGTTCTACAAGGGTTAAAAATGTTTGAGGTTATGAGGGCTTGATAAGGAGGCCAGAGGGGTTCTAAAAGGGTGCTTCTAGGCTTATAAAGTATGTGCACCCATAGGGAAAGGCCTTTCGTGGTGTAGTATTTGGGCTTTGGGGTTTAGCTTTCGGTGTTCCACAAGGATGCACTGCTGAGCCAGACAAGGCAATTCCAGTCAATTGTTTGAGAGGTCAGCATGATTTCCAATAGTACACCAAAGCATGTCTTTCTCGTAGCTATAGCTTTAGTTCAGCCCTCCGAAAACATCATTCTAATTGTTATGGCCCCTGCTGATATCTTAAAGGCCCCGTTGTTGGCTTCCCTCTTTTCTTGGGGGAAACCCGGTTGATCTTTGCTCGTAGGATCCTTGAAGGGATACCCAAGCCCTTGTAGAGTTCCCATAGGATCCTGCGTAGGAATCCTCTTAGTCACCCTTGCCAGAAGCCTGACGAAGCCTTCAAAAAGGGCTTCCGTAAACAAGTAGCTCTTTAGAACCGGTTGTTGAAATGTTATTGTGAGTCATATTCTCGTATGAATTCAGAACCTAAAAGGTTTCAGTTGTACCCATTGGGGTTTCTATAGAATGGAAAACCCCAAACCCTAAACACCCCAAACCCTAAACCCTATACCAATAAAAAAACTGCCACTTCCCGCCCTGATGTGAGGTTGCATTGCAAGGTCGTATGGCAGGAGACCGGCGAGGCCCGCAGTAGGGTTTAGGGTTTAGTGTTTAGGGTTTAGGGTTTTGGTCTTTAGGGCCGGAAGAAACCCTCAACCCTAAACCCTAAGCCGGCGAAACTTTGGTATTTCCTCCGAAGGTTTTGTGGGGTGTTTACAGGGTTTTCTAGACTTGCAAAGAGCTTCACAGGGTTTCATTCTTCCAAAGGTAAATTGAGGGGGGGTACTTCGTCTCTCTTAAGACTGCAGCAAAGCCTGGACTCTACAAGGATGATATTTTTCCTATGCCTTTGCTGCGGCTACAGAGACAGATCGTTAAACAAGTGCTACAAGTTCCAACGCCACCTGAAACCCGCAAAACCCAAATGAGTTAGGCTTTGATTATAGATAGTGCTCCTGTGCAATAGTACTGTGCATTTTGCGGGTCATTTGTGGGATGCCGGACTATACCTTACAGATCTCGATACATATCTAAGCCTTTTTGTCAACCTGCACCCGCAAGACTGGTTCTGTTCCCTGACTTCGAAGCACAAAACCAGCCAACCCACAAAGGGCATAAACCATGCCCAACACCTACCTTAAGAACCCACAACCTACTTTTTTGTAGGTTCTTATTATAAACCCTAATTCGGGATTTATAGGGACCCTACAAAAAAGTAGGTTTTGGGTTCTTAAGGTAAACCTCAGAGTGACCCCCACAGCATCACTTTCCGATTCTTCTCTGACGCTAAACCCACAACCCCAAATTGAAGCCTCAACCCGAAACAGTTATTCTCCGCAGGAACTTTGCGCTTTGCGCTTGCTCTCGTTGCCCACTGGCCTCAGCATTCATATAGCATCGTAGGGTTCAGGCTTTTGCACGCAACGGTGAAGAGATTGAAATTTACGGCTCAGGGTTTACTTATAGACACCTAAGTACACTAGTTCCTTTTTGGGTTAACTAGCAAACTGTGAGAGGTTACGATGACTCAGGAAAGTTTTGGCCGTGTAATAATATATGATGACTAACTGAGTATGAGGCTACGGCACTGGCGGGACAGCCCGACTCAACGCGCCCTAGACCCTAAACCCTAAACCCTAAACCCTAAACCCTAATCAAACTTTAACGATGCGCCGGTCTCGTTGCTCATCGCAACAGGTGGGGAGGAGCCCAGGATGGACGCTGCACCCGCCTCCTGGGATCCCACGGTTTAGGGTTTAGGGTTTAGAGTTTTGGGTTTTGGGTTTTGGGTTTGGGGGTTTAGGGTTTAGGGTTTAGGGTTTAGGGTTTAGGGTACAAGCCAGGCCTCCCATGCTACTCCGCGGCGGCGGTCCGAATTTTGGGTAAAATGGCCCAGCAACATTCTGATCCTGAGACGGAGGGGCGGCAATGGTTCAAAAAGGACTGTGAGGGTATGAACAGATACCAAAACGTCAACTCTGGGACTGGTGTGCTACTGGGTCATTGAGCGAATCAGATCATCCTCCACGCCGGCGGGCCAAACGATTCACCATGGCATGCCAACTGGCTAGCAGTGCGGCCGGGGTGCTTCGTATACTGATTAAGAACCTCGCACCCGTGGACATTGCAGAAATAGCTGCCTATGTTATTCCGCACGATTCCCGGATATAGTTATACCTGAATTTGTATAACATACCCTACAACCCTGTTTAAGTTGGTGAGGTAGGGTGCAGCGCTTAGGCAATAGACCTTGGTTTGGTTCCTAGGCGATTGAAACCCAATCACAAAACCCTAAACCTTAGCCCGAAAACCCTAAATCCTAAACCCTGCAACCCTAAACCCTAAACCCTCAACCCGAAAACCCTAAAGCCCTAAACCCGAAACCAACCCGAAACCCTAAACCAGCCCTAAACCCTGAAACCTCAACCAACCCTAAAGCCTAAACCCTCAACCGTAAGCCTTTTTTGAGGCCCTGAGCTCGACGGAGAATCAATATCAGGGTCTGGGTCGTGGGCTCCCTGTGACCTTGCCTTAGGCTTCCTGAATATCTTCATGGGCGTAATATAGGGGCCTTAATACATAGTTAGACTAGGGCTTTGGGGGTCTATTCTACTAATTATAATAGGAGCCCCCAACACCCTATTCTAACTATTAAGGCCCCTACACTACTGTAGCCGTTTCGGAGTCGCTCACTGGCTTCAGGAATATTATTTAGGATTTGGGGGTTTGGGGGTTTATAGGGCTCAAGGCCTAAACCCTTAAACCCTGAACCCGCAAGCCTAAACCCGGAGGGTTTGAAGCCCTAAACCCTAAACCCTGCAGCCACCGAAGGCCTAGGCTAGTTATGTTTTATCTGCAACCTGAAACCCTAAACCCTAAACCCTAAACCCTAAACACAAAGTCGGGAGCCTTAGTTCGATTCGGGTTCACATCATAATTAGATGTAATAGCAGTTGAAAAGAACCCTAAACCCTCAACCTAAACCCTAAACCCGAAGAACCTAAACCCTGAACCCTAAACCCTAAACACAAAGTCGGGAGCCTTAGTTCGATTCGGGTTCACATCATAATTAGATGTAATAGCAGTTGAAAAGAACCCTAAACCCTGAACCTAAACCCTAAACCCTAAGAACCTAAACCCTAAACCCTAAACCCTCAACCCTACCCCTAGACTTAGACCCTAAAGCCCTAAACCCCAAACCCTAAGCCCTAAAATACAAAGATTCTGTTTGAACACGTCGAAAGCCCGAAGCTCAGGTTCCAGAGTTCGGGGTTTAGGATTGGGTGTTCCCGAAGTTGAATGTGACCCCAAGAAACCCTCCGGTTCAGGGGTTTGGGGGTTTAGGGTTAAGGGGTTTAGGGTTTGGGGGTTTAGGGTTTGGTGGTTAAGGGTTTAAGGCTCTAAGGACTCATATTCTAAGGCTTTTGGGCCCAAAGACCATACTATACCGGGCTTTCGGTGCTATTTTGAGCGGGAAAATCAGGATTAAACCCTAAACCCTAAGCCCTGA